GTACTGAGCAACTATCTGTAGTTTATTCCCGTTAAAACTCCGTGGGATCTTCTCATTCACGGTTTAGGGTTTAGGGTTTATGGATATTCGCAGTCTACATGAGGCTTTCAGAAAGCAAGCGACCCCAATGAGAACCTGCCATACAATAAGGCACCACTCATGTGTGAAACCACACCAGGTCCGCACATCTGTGTTCTGCCGTGTCTGTTCGGCTGTCGAGGACTTCTCCATGTCAATGCGGCAGCATTGGACTGTTTGTCTTGAAGATCGGAGTACTATAGGGGCCCGAGAAAGTAGACTAGGATGTCGGGATATAACATGGGTCTAAGGGAATGTTAGCAAGCTACGAATTTCTAATTCTTCAGACCTTCATATTCAGGTCTTAGTAGTGAGAACAATGGCCGCTATTCAGCCGAGCAGCTCGGCCGTGCTGCTCCGAAGCAACGAAAGTTGGCCTGGGCGTGGTCTCCGGGATTTTGGTTCCGAGGTCTAGGTGTCTAAGGGTTTAGGGCTTTTGAGGTTTAGGTCCGCGAAGTTGGGGCTCTAGGGCTTTGGGTTTGGACAAGATAAGCAGTCGCTAACTGATGGGCACTGCCATACGGCAAACTCCGGGATTGGTGCTGTTATGGTTTTCGGGTTGTCTTTGCTTCAGAATAGGAGAAATACTGTTATTCGGTTATGCTACAGCATACGCCAAAGCCCAAGTCTAGTTATAAAGGTCCCTATGCTGTGCAGTTTCCGGCTTGGACTCTCCGCTGGCGCAGCCATAACATTACCTGTAACCTCCATACAACATTACAAACATCCTCCCTGAATGAACGGAAATTACGGCAGTTGGAAGGGCATCCCAAACCACAACTCAAAAGCCAAACCTCAACAGCCTAGAGCCCGAAACCCTTAAGCCCCTCAACCCCAAATCCTACAAAGCCCTAACACCCTGTGGAGCCCGCAACAAAGAAATAGCAGCCCTTTCTAAAACACTAGAACCTGTACTACCCATTCCCAAACTCTAAACCCCAAAACCCTGAACTCGAAGCCTAAACGCTAAACCCTAAGCCCTAAACCCTAAACTCGCAGCCTAACGGCTCATCGAAGAGAGCAGTTCCTTCATCGCACCCGACAGCATGTCCAAGGGGTCGTGCGGATAGCCTTGATGGTTCGAAAAGGGTCTTGGGGGGTGCTTTATGGTATACTGTACTTACATGAAGGAACTCAAGAGAATCGTGTTGGAAATTAACTGTTCAGGCTTCTCGCTTAGATGAGCTGCCAGACTTTGGGCAGTTCGGTGGGCTTTGAGCCTCTTGGTGCTTGAAGCTTCAATTCAGGGTTTTGGTGCCAGGCATGTTCGGTGCTGATAGGAGTCTTGTGGAACCCTTAGAGAAGCCGTCCAGAATCCTTCAAGAACTAAGAACTCGTATAGAAACCCTATACAAGCCTTTTTGAACCCTTTATGGAAGCCTTGTAATTAAAGTTCTTACATAGACAAGCCGGCTTTACGCGTAATGCACGACAAAGGCGTGACACTGAGTTGTTGGTGCTGGCTGGACACAGAAGGCGGGAAGTGGCTACTTGTTGTCAGTCTATGACAATGAAACGGATGTGAAGTGGCAGGGAACATACGGATGTGACGTGGCAGGGAACATACCGTGCGACATTCTTCAGCTGCAGTTAAAGCTGGCGCAGCCAGAAAGAATAGTTTTGTCCTAACTCTGCAAAGCCTTGGGCTCCTGCTGTACTTGGGCTAAGGCGAATCTCGAGACCAGCCCAACGCAAGACACCCAGAACTCACACTGCGCATGCCGACGAGAACATCGTTTGAGTCGGAAGCAAGCGCCGAATCTCCGGAGCCTCGGCGAAGCAAAGGCAGCCCAGCAGCTGTTGCTTCCCCAGAGGATCTCCAGGGCCTGTTTGGCGCCAAGAAACTGCTGATGGACAAAATCCTGCATTACCCATTATAAGGAATATACCATAATTCCCATAGTTTAGGGTCCTTAGGGTCATGCAGGATTTTGTCCATCAACAGAAGGACTCGAGTGACATCGGCTTCTGTCTGCAGGGACTTTGGCAGGAGCACTCTGGAGACTAAGCCCCAGTGGACACCCGGAACCGCCGCGCCGCCTGTGCCCGTGTGAAACATTTAATAGACCCATGTGCATCTTTGCCAACACTGTTCATGTACAAGCTCGCACATGTGCTTGCGAAGTGACATGTGCACAACAGCCACGCTGCCTCTAGCATAAGCCGCGCCATGGGACAGTGTTGCAGATCTTTCTCAGTGATGACTGCAGCGGCTGTTTCTACCTGGGCCCCAGTGAGCCCAATACCCCCTTAATTAAGGAATATGGCTTAAATGATACAGGGCTTCATATTATGATTTAAGCCATATTCCTTAAGCAAGGGGTATTGGGCTCTCTGGGGCTGCTTGGCCCAGTCCCTCAAGCTCAGATCTCCGTTGCATCCGCAGCACCGGGCCTCCCGTTCTTTAAGGATCAGGGGACTTAGTAACTAGGGTTCCTTAAAGGGTTCCTTTAAAGGGATCTATAAGGGTTCAATAAGGGGTCCTCAGGGTGTACTTAAAGGATCATGGGGCTTAGTAATGAGGGCTCTTATTGAGGTAACGATGCTTAGAATTGTGTATAACCCCAATTAAATATTCAAGATACTTATAATAACCATATACTTACTAAGTCCCATGATCCTCCAAGTTATGATCAGATGGCCAGTCTATGTCCGCTTCAGAGAAGCTTGCACACCAGGCAGAAGGAGCGGAGGCAGCCGGTTTGTGCCCTAGACTATGGCAGTTGTATGGTATATGCATCATCATGGCTAATGTAGGCCTTGTCCCATCAACCGTATAGCACCCCAAAATTTGGGATTCCCAGTTTAAGGATCCAGCCTGATTTGAAGACATCAGACAAGGCCACGGGAAAACCATCAGAAATCCCTTCGACAAGCCTTTCTCACCACCCGAAATACACCCTTCAAAACTCAGATTGGTGGTTGTCAAAAATAGGGTCCCTTCTTGGGTCCTTATTAGAATGCGGCACCTAATATTTAGGGTACCCAAAAAAGGCCCTAATTTTGACAACCACCCATATAACAACCTAATCAAAGAGCCCCATGGTCTCCATTGCAGTTCCGTTTCTGGGTTACCCAGAGGCTCCTCATATACTACCCAGAGGGTCCAAGTCCTCCCTATTATAGGACTGTAGGGCCTTATTAGGTACCAAAAACCATTAATAGGGACTACTTGGACCCTTAGGGCTACAATTATGGAACTAGGTCCCAAAAGACAATCGTTATTACGGTTTTTAGGCACCTAATTCCATAATGGTAGTATATGAGGAGCCAATTTATGGTCAGGACCCTACGGTTGATGATATAATTCCCGCATTACCGTTAAGGACCCCCAAACCATGGGAACAATTGTATATTCCTTATTATCTGTAGTGCAGGGTATTTATATCATCGACCGTATCAGTGGACCCTTTTTTGTTTTGCAGTGGAGCTTCGCCGTGGAACTGGCCAGTGGCCAGGTTAAGGCCGCGGTCCTGGGCCACCTGGGGACATGCGATGGTCATCTCAAGTTAAAGGGTTAAGGTTCACTGTTTAGGATTTAGGGTTTAGGGTTCCTGGGGACATGCGATGGTCATTTCAAGTTAAAGGGCAAAGGTCTACCTGTTCGATTTTCGGTTTCGAAGCCTTTCAAGGCTTTTAGGATGTAGGATCTGGGGTTTAAGGTTTATCTGCTGGGGCCGAGTGTGTGAGGGGCTGCTTGATGGATCAGCGGACGTCGCAAGCAAGGTAGCTATCAGTGGGGTTACTTAAAGGATCATGGGACTTAGTAACTAGAATTATTATTAAGGTAACTATACTTATAATTACTTATGACCCTGATTAGGGTACCTATAACCATACATACTAAGTCCCATGATCCTCCAAGTACGGGTAGTCTGTCCCAGCCTTCTTAACCTCTTATAACTTATGACCTACTTACCCATGACCCTGAACCTCAGATAAGATACCAAGGTAATCCAAAGTCTCCAAACACTGCACTTACCACTAGACCCCGGATCCTTCAGCTTATTACCAAAGTTAGGTACTTCATGACGTGTACTTCTTACTTTCGTTTGTGACTTCATGCAGGTATCGAGGTTTGCCACAGTGTCAGCAAATGCCACCGTCGATTCACAGTCATGCACCCACGACATGGGATGGGGTGGCAAAATCAAGCCGGACACTGATTGAAACGAAAGCGGGCAACGTGTCGGAGTCGCCGCTATCCGACAACTCAGCTCCAAAGATTCGACACTGAGGCGCAGGCACGGAAACCCAGAAAGCCTAAACCCTAAACCCCTAAACCTTAAACCCTAAAACCCTAAACCCTAAAACCCTAAAACGCCTTAGACCGTAATCCTTAAACCGCATCGAGCAAAAGGAGGCGGATCAGGTCGGAGTCGGGCAACCTACTGTAGGGTCATTGATAATTAGAATAAGGTTTTGGGGCCCATTATACTATATTCATAATAAGGAGCCCCCAAAATAGTGCAAATACTTATTAAGGCCCCCATATTATTTCAGTGTGCCTGACAAGTAAAGTCTAGGATTTTTTCTGTTTACGGTTTGAGGCCTGGGGTTGGGGGATTCAACTTGTTTTGGGCTTTAAGGTTAAACGGCCTTACCTCGGCCGAGAAAAACCCTCGCAACTGAACCAAGATAGCAAGCGACTCTTGAATGCACGCTGTCTCTGAAGCGTCTATGCTGCTTGCAAGGGTGGCAGCAAGCCTTTTAACATAGGAAAGGATGTCCAATGAACATCTGATGACAGCGGGCTGCGATGGATGATGCAGAGTCCAAACTCAAGCGACCAATACACCACACCCGCCATGCACGAGCATGTCCTGGGTGTCGTTTCACGATCACCGCAAGCGCTGCTCCTGAACATTGCGAAACTGGAGCGGCTGCATCACTGAGAAGTAGCCGAGCGACAAAACTTGCGACTATTCCGTCGTCCGTATAATGCCGGGGGGTAACTCCGGGAATTGCGGATTGGCATCCTCGCTTCTGGCTTGGCTGCCTTTCGGGGTGGCTGACAGCACTCGCTCGCCGACAAAGGTGCGTGCCTCATAGATTTGGGCAACCCGACTCTCAGGATTTTTCTTGGAGAAAAGGGCACAGAAGGCCAATGTCATCACTGACCACCAGCCACCAATGTTTCCGCCAAGTTCGAAAATCTGGGGCAACAAGCCTTGCTTGTAGCTGACTGGAACGACTGGTGTTTGAATGCTGACAAATAAACCACCTGGAGTAGATCTGCCAGTGCCAAAGTAGGTCCAGTGCTTGCATCCACCGTCTGATCCCGTCCAGTGTGCAGGCGCTCGAGCCTCTTCGATAAGATCATGATACTCCTTCGCTTCGGATGAATACCCATAGTTCCACCCATGTTTGCTTCTCCGGTAGTTGAAAATGGCTTTTTCGCCATTTGCATGAAGGTGTGCGACATACTTCCATTGGTCATTGCTCCATATGTAGAAGGATTCTGATAACTCTGACTGACCACATAGTCTGAGTTGGACTTCTGTGTCCCACTTCAGCTCTGTCAAGTCAAGTGTGCTGCAACTTGCGCCGGGCAGATCAGATGCAGTCGTCTGAAAACGAAAGGTGGTCTCAACCTCAGGGACCTCTGTCCGGGATTCCCGACTGCCTTCATAGATTGTGAAGCCAGCTCCATGCAACCGGGTACCGCCGCACACAGCCCATATGCCTGCTCCTTGCCATTCCTCAACCGTTGATTCGACTGGTGGAGTCTTGGCGGAAGTTAGGATCGTGAAGATCTGATACACAAGGAAGCTCAGCAGGCAAATGGTTAATGCTGCTTGCCAGCACAAGGCATGCTTCCAATACTTCGGCTCCACGCGGCGAAAATCCATGGCGTGCCAATGTCAGCAGGAGACTGAACAGATGCTGCAAGCAAAATGCTGGCGGCAATGCCAAATGCCCACTTGTTGATTGCGACCTGCTCATGGGACCCTGAAACCCTATAGAACCCTTACAACTTCTAGAGCCCTTATAAGGGACCCTGAAAGGGAGGACTACCAGTGCTTTAGTTGCACAGCTTGGGCATCTCGCCTTAAGCCTTAAGTTCGTGACGACACGGTGGCGGCAGGGGCACGGCTCCCCCGCTAATTGGCGTTCTCACTCGAAGCTCCGATTCTTCCTCTGCTAAGGTCAAGGCCATGAGTGTCGCCCGCAAGCGGTGCAGGGCCAACTGTTTCGAGCCGGTGCATCCCCTTAGTGCTGTTCCGGTTACATCTGCTGTGGGACCTATCCAGCAGAAGACCATTTCAAGGGGCTCGGGGTTGAAGGGTCAGTTGCGGTTTTGAGGGGTGGGCTTCCGGGTGCATGTTGAGGTTTGGGTTTCGGGCTTGGGTTGAGGTTTGCGATCTGTTCTAAATGAGGCTTAGCGCTACTGAAGGCCTTTCAGGGTCTCAAACTCCAGTCAGAGTCATAACATGTTGGGCTTGCATGAGTTACATGGCGGCTGGGTCTGCAGGCTCAGAACGCTGAAGAGCAATGTGCAATAGTCTCGGAGTTTTGAAAGCACTACACAAGCTGTACCTTGTGACTACGTCTTTCCCAGGCACAGCCATTGAGCTTCGGAGGCGCGTGACCATTCCAAGGCCTGCAACTGCTTGGCGCATAGAAATCTCCGGGTTCAGGCAAACATCGGGTGCTGGCAAACAGGGATCCACAAAACTCGAGCAAGAGGAAATCAAGCATCTCCGAGTTTTGCGACAATACGCCAGGAAGCACCATCGGACGAGGGCCGGCTCTGTCTGAGCATCTGAGATCTGTTAAGAGCTGACCCTGAACTCTCAATCCCGAAGCCTCCTTTAAAAGCTTCTGTAAGGGTTACTATCAGGGATCTATAAGGGTATCATATTCTATAGGCGCATTAATTGGTCGATTAGGGTTTGGGGCCCCAACTCCCGAAACAAGATCGACTGCCCAAAGCCTAAACCCACGTCACCTCCCCCAGCGGCGGGCCATTCCAAAGCGGTTGGAGAGGCGGATTGCCTGGCCCTGGCCCAGGCAATGTGTCATAGAAAGAGCCGTTTACGGTTTAGGGTTTAAATTTAGGGTTGACCCGTGATGGTTGACTTCCTGTCTTCAGGACCTCAGTACTGGATGTATGGAGCAGAAAGGTCAGGATAGCAGCAGTTTTGCCAGGCCTCGTCGGACTCATCGGAGGCATAAGTCAGATGCTTGGACGGATGACACAAGGAGGATCTTGCTCGCTACTATTAAGGCTACGAGCCGGGCTTTATAAACCCTGAAACCGAAAAGCTAAACTCTAAGTCTAAACCCTAAACACTAAACGTCCCCAAACCCTTAACCGTGTTACAAACCCTGAAACCGAAAAGGAGACCGCAGCCTCCTGCCACGGCGGCTACTGCCGTCGCAGCTCGGAGAGGTGAGGCCAGCACCATGAGCAGCCGGTCCGTGTTTGGTGAGTTTGGCTGTTCGCTTTTTAGGGTATAGGGTTTGGGTTTTAGCTTTTTGGGGTTCTGTGCGGTTCACGGTTTAGGGTCCGGGGGGATTTAGGGGTTTAGGGTCTCGGGATGTGGAGTTGAGGGGGTTTACTGACGATGCTTTAGAGCTTCGGGCCCAAAACGTTGCTGTGAGATCTTTGCGGGATGATTGCTGTGTAATTGGCAGCTGGCTAAAGAAGGCTGAAGTTCACGTGCCCGAGCTAACTTATGCTAAAATCCTTTAGCATCGCATTACACCCCTTGATCTGCAAACTGGACTGATCGTGTGTGTGTGTGTGTGTGTCGTACTGAATCTGCCTGATGCCTGCTTATATGTGGGTAGGATGCAAGTGCATATCTGCATGCACGGATCTGCGATAAACGACCGCATGCACACCTATCTAGGCTACGTGCCACAATGGGCATTACATGCCCCAATTACTGATCCCATCAACGCGAAACATTAACAATATAGAGGCGTAGACGGAAGGACGCAAAGATGGACACCACAGGAAGGTACACAGAGGGAGGCGACATGATAAATTTTGCATTTAGACAGACTCGAGACAAGATGCTTCAATGCCCATGCAAAAATTAACTTCGTGTGTCGCATGGTCTGCGACTGCTATCATCGTGCCTTCTCAAGAGATCGTCCCCCCCATAGCACTCGCAGTGCCCACTGCCCTAAACTGGAAAGTGGACCCAGAGCCTCCAAAACCCCTTAATTAAGGAATATACCTTAAATCATATTAGGGATCCTATCATAATTTAAGGTATATTCCTTGATTAGGGGGTTTTGGAGGCTCTGGGGACCTGCCCAACCCAAGAGGCGCCACTCACTCAGAGCCTCTTGGACCCTGAGCCGGGGCCAATACGTCCAGAACGCCCAGGATCCTGCAGACGGAGAGCTAACCCGGGTTTCGGGTGCTTGTTTAGGGTTTAGGGTTTCGGGGTTTAGGGTTTCGGGGTTTAGGGTTTCGGGGTTTTAGGGTTTAGGGTTTGTTTGTTTGTTCTGTCCGATGATTGTGACAGCTTCGTAGCAACAGCCGAAGTGGAACCTTTTCACTCGGGGTCGCTCAGGAGGCGGAATGGGGATTTCGGAGAACTGTGGACAGGACCCCTAAACAAGGAGTGCCCTAAACCCTACCTGGACCCTGAAGAACCTACCTTTTAAGGGCTTCATATTCTGATATCCTTATGTAAGTGCTTAAAGCTCCAGAAACTATCGGTATTTTATTTTCAGTGGTTTCTGCACTTCACAAGGCCATTCAGGGCACAGGTAAACCCTAAACAAGGAGGACTTCTCATTCTCTGAACACAAACTAAGACTGGCCTCCCGAGCTTCGCTAGAACCCCTCGCTTCCTGGCCTAAGGACAGAAGCTCGCTAGGGTTTAGGGTTTTAGGGTTTCGGGTGAAGTGTTTACGGCCCTCGAGGGCGCATGGAACTGGATCGGACAATTTTATGCATTGTGTGGCATCTACAGCAGACTTCTGCGAAAGCCCACCATGCCACTGAATCACCCTGCTCTCCGTGCCTCACAGATTCCAATGCAGACTCCACAGCGCGGAGTCGTGCAAAGGGCTGCAATGCCTGACGAATCCATCGTCTTGGCTCGTTTTGTGCGGGATAGGCACCTGAAAGGTGTTGAGTCGAGATGCATTAACTGGACTTTGAAGTACCACGAAGAAAAAGTAGAGACTTTCATGTAATAGTGGTTCCTTTAAGGAACAGGTACCAAAACAAAGTATTCAAGTATGGTACTCCAAACCCGGGTTAATGATGCGGCAGTATACGGTTCTTGAGGCTTCTAGGTGTCGTGTTTCCATCTGACGAATCATTCGTCGCGCTCCCTCTCCCTCCCTGCGTCTGTACTTCGCTCTACACTCTCTCCCCCCATGGACGCAAATACGTTTAGCTGGTTTCGGACTCCGAGTGGCTGGTTGTCAAAATCATGACCCCTTTTGGGGGTACCCTAAATAATGGGTGCCGTATTATCATAGGGACCCAAAAAGGGACCTACTTGGAGGATCATGGGACTTAGTAACTATGGTTATAAGCCCTTCATTGGGGGGTTATAAGTAGTTGTAAGTATATAGTTACCCCAAGAATAAGCCTAGTTACTAAGTCCCATGATCCTTTCAGTATTGACAACCACCCAAGTGGATCCCAGCATCCCAGTGCCTTGCCTTTGTCAGCGCCTCCGAGAGAGTGGAGGAAGAAAGGGTGCTGGTGCCAGGAACGAGATGCCAGGACCTTGAGGGACGATTTTTATGGATGATATGGGAGTTTCCGAGAATCAGGGGTACCTTATTTTGGGGTCCTTATAATAGGGATCCTACTATTTAGGTTACTATATTAGGGTCAGGACCTTGAAGAGTGCCGAGGCTGGGTTCAGGATTTGGGACTGAGGATTTAGGAGCTTCCGAAAAGAGGGGCCCCTAATATAGTACCCTAAATAATGGGTATTTAATAGGATCCTTATTGTAAGGACCCCCAAATAAGGTAAGTACACCGAATTTTCGGAAACTCCCATTCAGGGTCTGCTTCAAAGAACTAGAGCTGGGGTCTGGGGCTTCAGCATTGAGCTCCGCATGTACCGGACAAGAAAGCAAACAAGAGCACAGGCCCCGCAAGGACGGGCATCCGGAATCATGGATGATGCAGAACACGTCTCTGCCTTCCCTGAGTCATCTATACTAATTACGAATATTCCCTACTTCCCTATTATGACTTACTCATACACGCTGCGACTGAAAATACGGATAGGACTGAGTGGCTCGGCCATAAGATACGCACATCCAAGGTCACTGGTGTAGTCCCAAGCCCTGACAACCGCCATCACCCATACCTTAATATCCTGATCTTGAAGCCTTAGAAAAGGGGCCTTAATGTCCTCATCTTGAAGCCTTATAAACAAATGAGACGAAAACAATACAGTCGCCCTCAATAGCGACTATATTGGGGATCGAAATGCTGAGGGCCTTCTAACAAGGGTTGAGGCGGGAGTCAGTAATCAGGGGTCTACATTACCTAAACCACCAAAAACAAAAAGACTGGCCCGACACCTGTAACGAGCTTCCAATTTCGGGGCTTCGAGATTGCAGGGTTTAGGGTGTAGGGGTTTAGGGTTTCGGGCTTAAGGCTATTCTTCTACATGCTATGGGGTCCACATTCCAAAGCCAACGAGCGGCGAGACGCAGAGCTTTGGGGGGAGGTTGGTGGATCAGGGGTTGCCTGGACACTAAGGAACCTAGATCTTCAGGGTTCTGTATTATGTTTTCCTTCTCTGAGTCCTTAAAAAGGTCGGTTATTTGGGGTTGAGGTATATAGGGTTTTGGGTTTCAGTCACGGAGTGAAACTCTCAGATATAGCTCAAATTTTCAATCCTCTACATGGAGTTTCCCTTCTTATAAAAGTACTTGTCACCTACTCCTTCAAGCTGGCTGCGGGGCCAAAATACTCTTGGATGCTTTTCTGTTTGCAGACCTGCTGATGCCTCAGACGGAAAGATGCAGGCAATGCCCGCGACGCTGATTCTCCGGTTCTGCGTAGATGGGAACATACGCAAGTTAACTTCAAGAACTCCTTCCCCCTCGGCGCCCCTTGGCACTCAGAGGAAGACACACACCCCTTCGGGGTGGGCAGATGGAGAACATAACTTCTTGGAACTTGATGAAGAAACTCCGGGTCCTTGATGAGCTCAACAAATTAACTTGCACCCTTCGGTCAGTGCTGTTTTGAAACTCTATCCATACTAGTATTACTGTATTACTACTCAATACTTGCAGTGCTGTTGCTCTTCCTTTAATCTGATTGCAATATTTTTTGTTGCTGCAACTGATTACTACTAACATTTATTGTCATTACTATTGAATTGAGTCGTTGACTCCTTTGAAAGGACCAGGGGTCTCTGAAGAAAAGGGGCACCAAGCGTACCCCCCCGGGGACTGGCGGGCTTTGCCTCAGGGCTCCACGTCTTTCACTGAGGTTTTTTCGACAATCTCTGCCAAGCGGATGTCGAAGAAGAGGTAAGCCTTGGAGTTTGGGGGCTTACCTAGGTCTTTTACCTGTGTACAATTGAAGGAAGTCGTAGTAAAGAACCGCAATGGGCTCTTGATCTCCTGAAGCCCTGTCGCGATGAAACATCGTATGGAGTTTGTGAGCAAGCAGTTGCTGCAAACATGTAAGATGTAAAACCCAAAGCCGTCAATCTTTGTCAATCTGTGAACCCTAAGTATGCCCCCTCCTTTTGTCGGACCAGGTGCCACAGCACAAAGACCGAAGAAGACCTCTGCGAGCAGATGACCCAGCTTCAACAAGCACCTCGCATGGCGGGATCTACCAGAAAACTGCTAGGTTTAGGGTTTAGGGTGAACCCTTGGAGTGGCTCTTGTAGTGACCCTTTATACAACCTTGTGTAGGAAAACCCTGAGCCTCGAACGAATGCTTCCCTGCCCCCTTATTCAAGCGACAAGTTCCGGCAGTGGCTCTTGCCTACCCAGTAGGCTTCAACAAAAGACTGGCCCCGGGCGCCCCAGGATGCACAAAGAAATTTGTTTATTCATCATCGTCGTGCTGTCAATTAGTGCCTGAGACAGCTAGACTAGCAACAGTAATTATAGCTACAATGGTGATGAAGAGAATAGCCAGAAAGGTCGGCTTTTCAGGAATTCCAGAAAGCCTTCTAAGTATCTCCTTGCCTTTCTTTGCACTCAAGGCGCTCCCAGTACATGTCGAAGATGATGGGGTACTGCGCACTGAAGAGCACGCAGGAGATGAGGTGCGACATCCCGGCCTGGTGACCGCTTTGTCCCAAGCTCTGCTACGCTGCAGGGAAGCTTCGGGCTTAAGGCAACGGCATGACGTCACACGTCCTGGGCTGCGGCTTCCTTGCTCAATGGCCGTGGCTCTGATGCATACTTTTAAGCACTTTATGGATCCAGCGAAGCCGCGAGTGCCCTTGAGGTAACGCAGGAACCTGACTAAGAAACCCTGGAATTTCATTCGGGCTCCTGTTGGGAGTCCTAGTGTATATTGGGACCATAGGACAAGGGTTTCTTAATCGGCTACCGACATTTGGAGAGAGAGCATGAAGAGGCAGTGAGCCTCGAAGGGGCTCGCCGCCATCACATTCAAGACCATGGACTTGACCTTAGAAGGGGGCAGCTCTTAAGCTTTAGGGGTTCAGAGTTTAGGGGTTTGTAGGGAATTCTTGAAGCTTCGAGTTTTCTGGTAATCCATTTGAGATCATCGGTAAAGCTTATTTGTGAGCACACTTCCTCAAAGCTCCTTCAAGAGACCCTGCCATAGCATGTGCCTGCCCATGAAGCTCCTGGTAAGGCTCCAATCAGCTCTACCGAACCTGCAAACAGTTTGTAGACCTGTCGGAGCCTTCAATACCCGTTAATAAAGGAATATACGCTAAATCGCAAAGTTAAGGTTCCGAACGCAAATTCAGGTATCTTCCTTAACTGATACCTGTTTTGGAGTCTCTGGGAAGGGTTCCGGCGCCTGGGGACTCTCATGGGAGTTTCGGCGGTTCTCAGTCTACGCCCCGCCGAGTAGCTACCACGGTGAGCGTGTAGGAGGCTTGCAGCGCAGTGAGTGGGCCGTCCAAATCCACTTTGCCGTAGTTGTAATGCATCTGAATAAAGACCTCAAGGCTTCGAAGCTGTAGGAGTCACTAGGGTCTGCATGGGGCTTCGGGTTTTGCGGAAGTTTCGGGCTTATAAGCTAAGGATATACAACTATCTGCTTTCAGAGTTCAGGGGTTGAGGGCTTTGGTGGGGTTAAGACTTCAGGGCGGTTGAGGGCTTTTAGGCTTTTTGGGGGCTGAGGCTTCGGAGCTGTTTACGAGGCGATCCTGTTACGGTCTGGAGGAATGCGGACAGGACGGGACACGTCAAAAGGGAGCAGGCAAAAGATCGGATTGAGAAGTTCCTATCTGATCTTACGGTTGATAATGATGAAATCACCTGCCAGTGCCAGTATGAGTGCGTCCATACCAGAGCTAACATCTGCGTAGCCTATATGTGCAAAAGTACAGACTGATGGCCACATTCGCGTGCAACCGGATGGACTTCTGTTGCGGGCGATTCAAGGTGTGCACATGCAAAAACAAACACAGACATTCGCACATGGCGCACGCACTTCAGCATGCACCTCTCCTGTGCTCCCACGGCACATAGGGCGAGAAGAAACCCACGCAGGACCAGGCCAGAGAAAGAAGCGGCACGGCAGAGATGCGTTGGCAGTGGAAGCCTTCCCGTCCAGGTACGGCACAACAAAACATGAGGCTGCATTTTAGTAACGTTCAGATTAGGGTTTGGGGGTGTGCATTAAGTTATCGTATGCTTCTATTCAGAAACCCCAAGGAAGTAATCATTGGTATTTATTCAAGCCTCTATATCGGGGTTCGAAGATCAGGCGAATTTCGAACAGGCTGCCAGAGACAGAAATTTCGGGGCTTGAAGGACTTCGCTGCTGCGATTGCCCGACCTCTTAGGGTCCATCCTGTTGTGCACGGAAAGGTGGCCAGCTCCATGGTCATTGGGGCTTACTGTAGGAATAGGGTCTAGAATACTTGGAGGATCGTGGGACGTAGTAACTATGGTTGTGAGTACTTTTAATTGAGGACACAAGGAATCATACGTTTAGTTGCCCTAGTAATATCCCCAGTTACTAAGTCCCACGATCCTTTAAGCAGGGTGTATCACAGGGTTTAGTTGTTTGACAAGTTGCTCTAGGAAGCGGCCGTCTATCTAATATCTACCTCGCTATCTCCACTTGCCTAATCCTACCCATCTAGGGGTCTATCCATCTAATTATCTTCGTGCTTTTCTCTCACCATCAACGACTGCCTGGAACATCATACAGTGTCTGTGTTCTTTCCTACCTACCTAGCCACCGCGCTGTCTATCACTGCGGAGCTGTCTATCTATCGATCTATCCATCTATCTTTGTGCTTCTTTAGAAACTCTATAGAAACCCTTACAGATCCCTTTGAGGAGCCCTAAGACTGTCTTTGGGATTTGGGTAGCTGTCAAAATGATGGTCCCTTTCTGGGTACCCTAAATAATATAGGTGCCGTATTATAATAAGGACCGAAAAAGGGACCCTATTTTGACAACCACCCATTTGTAGCTGTCCAACCCCCTCCGAAGCGTTTTCTGCCGAGACGCGGAAGAAGGACGGGAAGGCCTCCAGCTGCCGGAGCCCCGGCCCAAATCTGAGTTTTGGAGGGGGGGGGGGGGGGGGGGGGGAGGATCGGGAGCGCAGTTTCAGGGAAAAAGGCAGTTTCCGAAAACTAGGGGTGCCTTATTTGGGGAGCCTTACAATGGGGATCTTACTATTTAGGGTACTATATTAAGCGGAAGGGGCTCACATTTTACACAAAGTACTCTAGAAGAAATACAAGAAGGATATAAGATGTTGGGCATAGAATTCAGGGTTCGGGGTTTATATGGCAGTATGTTAAGGTTTGGGGTTTGGAGCTCAGAGTTCAGAGTTTAGGGCTGCGGGAACGGAAGAGAAGTTGTCTTTCCCGAATTAGGGTAGACGCCAGAAAGTTGGAATATGATTATCGTAACCCCTTTAAAGTAAATTATACTTGATTCACAATCCGGCTGCTCTGAAAATTTTTTTCCCCTCCGACCATTTTGCATGGTCTACCTTGACATGAAAGCCAAACCTCTTACCACCAACATGCGTGAGGTTGAGTCGATATATATATATATATATATTTATTTATATTTATATTTATATTTATATTTATATTTATATTTATATTTATTTATATTTATATTGTTATTTATATTTATATTTGTATTTATTTATTTATATGTATATCGTCGCCGGCCAACCAGGATCTTGGCCATCCTCGCCTGGCAAGGAGGGATTGGGATGAACGTCAGTAGTGCAATCTTGACCACCGCACACGAGTCACTGCAGCCTTCCCTTTTTTTCTGCGAGCGAACCCCTGTGAAACTGCGACCCCGACAGCACGTCGTCGACTGCTCGGCAATGCATGCTTGAATATGAAGTATCCCATCCTTCAACGATGTGCTTGAAAGAGATTTTGCAATCTCGAGCGCATTGCTACCTTCTTAGCCGGCACACATGAGCTCATGGTGAAGCGGCTCCCCGGCAATGCTACCCCCGGGTCCCTGCGCACGTTTAGCAGTGCCAGGGCGACCCGTCTAAAATCTTTGGAGCTATCGATATGATAGGTATCATGGTCGACCTCTTCAACAAGACGAATCATGTGAAGCTGTGCTGCGAGTCTACAAACTTGGAGGCAAAGTGGAGGCGAAGTGGAGACAAAGCCGTCCGACAGTTTCAGGGAAACTTGACCCGGAGGAACATGCTCGACGATGCTTGCCTCAGATGCGATGATCGTTTGTGAAATAGAAGGAACCACTAAGCAAGGCAATGCAACAGACCCGAACTAGTCGAAGCAAAAGCCAGCGGCCAAACAATAGGTTTGAACTTCATATATGAATGATGCTGTGATGCTGCCCAGATACAGGGCTGTTCCGCCGGAAATCATGCTCAGAGCAAATACTCAGGCCCGCGACCGCGACAGCGAAAGCCAGGGCAGGGTCAGCTGCACAATGAACTTTGCGAAGATCGGGCACGATGAGCAGAGCTTTGCACCGCATGGCCTTTAACAAGTCGGCATTCTCCAGCTGCAAGTTGGAGGACGTGCAGTTCATCACCTGCCGAAAATGAAATACCGAACACTACGGTGATCATTAAATTGAATCTTAAGACCACAACCACATCTCGGGAAAACTTGCAGTGTTAAGAACGAGTGTCAACGCTGAAGTTGTCGAACTTCTTGTGGCACAGGGTCGTTTGCGACTGCAGCAAGCTGGCGTCGAGGACGTCAGGCAGCACGACTGCATTGTTCAGCACACAATCATCCCTGTTCTTCCGGCTTTCCTCGCGTCGCCTCTCGGTGGTCTTGCGGAAGTCTTGCGTCTGCTTGCTAACTTGGACGGGGTCGTCCACGCGAGTCAATGACAAAAGCGGCCTCGATTGCGTAGCTTCGCGGTTCCGAAGGCTGCAAAGTTCATCCCTCGCAGCATCCTGGGATCTCTTGATGGAAGCATCTGTTTCTTTCGTGCTCTTTGCCCATCTGGGTTCTGGCCCCATTCTGCGAGTATAAGAGCAAAATCTGCGACCGTGTTTTGTCACCCACAAGGCGGCCCACTGCCGGCTCAAGTCAGTAAGCTTTGCAACCCCCTCCTCCATGCTGACTACGTCCTCCTTCGTTCGAGGGCCGTCGATGAGCAGGAGGCTGAGGTCAGACAGCGGAAGTTCGGAGATGCCGCAGTGTGCCTCTGCCACACGTTTCACATCCCCCAGGCCACGCTCTACAGAACTTGTCACGTGCTCAATGGACAAATACCATTCCAGCACCTTGTGCAAGTACTCGAAGCCAACCCCGACGCCGGTGGTGCTACTGAACGTAGCCCACAACTGTCTGTTGTCGACCGCGACCTCGTCCTCGAAAAGTCTTGCGTTCACCTGAATCACATGCGCTGCTGCCGTCACGATTTCGTTGGCGCACTGTTGCTCGGCCTGGTGTACCGGCAGCTGGAAGGCCTTGCACAGCCTCTTGTAACGGCGCACAAGGTTCTGCAGTCCCATCCTTTGGTTCTCCGTCTGGCGGCGCAAGCATCTACGCCATTCCTGGAGGTCGAAGGCTGCAAAGTCGGACAGCAGCGAGTCATCGAATTCGGCTCCCAATCTGGCCTTGCAGGCCCTTGCCGCTTCTTTCATTTGGTGCAAGGCTAGAACTGCCTCTCGCGATCCAATCTCTTCCTCCCAGAGGTATTTGATCTTGAAGCCATAATAAATCGGTGGAGCCTCTCGGGCGTTCCGGATCGATCTCGCCACGCAGGTTTCCAAGTTGTTGGGATCAAGCAGTATCCGGCCTTGCTCAAAAAGAAGGTAGAGTCGATTCAAGTAATCATCGAGATGCTGTCTCAATAAAGCAGGGTCTGCATCAGACACGTCGTTTTGCCGTACCAGCTTCAGCGCTTCAGCGGCCCAGTCTCCAAGAAGACCGGCTTGTACGGCACAAGCCGGCCCCATGGCCTCTAGCCATGCTGCCGCCTGGGCGCGGTCCTCTTTCTTCAGCCGAGGGTCTTGCGAGCGTAGAGCCAAGAGCAGCGCGATGGCACCTTGCAGGTTCGTGTATTGCCTGTGCGCCGCTGCAGCACTCTCGTACCGCACATCTGAATGCCCAATCTGCCTCAGAACTGTTTGCATACCATTCGGGGTTCTCAGATGCTTTTGGCAGGCCATGAGCGCGTGTTGCAGCTTGGCAGAAGAAAGTACTGTATGAACCAGGCCGCCGGCAGCCATCAATTTGTCCCATCGGTCTCCCAGCAAAGCATCACGCTTCACAGGGTCTCCAGTCGCAATTCGTATGGTGTGTGCGGAGTCTTTGCCGACGAGGCGCAGGCGAGGAAGACCCGCCCTCAACATGGTCAATGACTTCTGCAGGGCACCGTCGGCAAAGATCGAATGGATGTGATCAATGATGTGCCGCAGCAGGCCTGTGTCCTCGCCGCAGAACTTTTCCAGGCAGCGCTTTACACTCCTGCAGACTCGCTCCCCATAGTCGTCCTGCAGTCGCTCGATGTCCAGCTCCACGGAAGCCATGTTCTCTACCCAGAGAACGCCACGATGCATGGACACCTTTCACACATGCAATCGCCACCAACTCTTAACTTAGCCGCCAGGAAAACCTGATGAAAGCTTTAGCAATTAGCTTTAGCGGCTAAGAAGCCTGACCATCATCTTCCCGGCAACTGCACTTGAACCGAATCAAACGCCAGTGCTTCTTGTCGTCCAACATGAGGGATATGGACGAGGATGCTCCGAGGCGAAGACGATGGCGACCTCGGATGGCTTCGGCCATAGTCTGGTGCATGTTCTGCATGGCGTTTGCCTTGACCTCAGGTCTGCGAGCGCTTGCCAACCATCGGCTTGCAGTCACAGCTTCAGCGGCCTGCCGGAAGGACGATTGAGTTTGCACCCATGCGAGCAGCCAATCTTCCGGCTGAGGCACTGCACCCGACAAGAGCTGGTCGTCTTCCTCGGACGGAAGGAGTGTCACCAGGGGAGCTGTAGGCGCCATGTACGATCGGACAGCCAGCTTGTGCATGTTGGACTGGGCGTGGTTGTGCAAATTGGAGGCTTGTAGGCATGAGAGTGTGTTCACTTCATACCGCCCCCAACGGGTCGACTGACGCCGCGAACGACCTGGTTATTGACTGCCCGAGACATCGGAAGAACAGCCTAGAAGAAGCATGTGGAGCATAAAATCACTTCGGAAATCAAAAATAGAACTATATGCCATTGAGGCACACGCGGTCTTCTGGCTGCCATATTGATGCAGGAAGGAGGCACATATGTGGCAGCCCACAGCCCACTTGCCACCTGGGAAATGCTTTGGCCGCAGACCCAGCCAGGTCACCAGGCTTCTTCGGCCTTGAACGACCGCGTTGATGGTGCCTGGCCTTGGATGCATGTTCTATCCATGTGGTGCATGCAGTAGTCCAGGAACAAAACTGGACTTAGGCAACAATAAGCTTCAACATCCCACTTGACCACGTAATTAAGGATGGCAACATGCTTCGGTTAAGCGGCCACATCCTTTCAAACAGCAGGAATGTATGTTGTCATCAAATATTACCAACCAGAAATGCCATTCCCTCTCAGCCACTGAGGTCTACATCGTCTCGTTTTCAGTCTGCTGAGACAGCTTACGCTCAACCCAGGAAGGAGCCCCGAAATCAGTCTCATGGGTTCTGAACCACGCAAGGGGAATCAACCTTTCTAAAAACAAACCTGGGCTGATTCATTGGGCAATACAGTGTGGATTGCACTTGTTCAAATCGGTTTAATTAAGTTGGGCCCATTTGAAGCAGTTGCAGCTGTTGCACCTCAAAGCTCGAATCTCTTCAAAACACTCTCGACCGAAAACAAACCTTATACAGTCATCTGCGCTCGCCGTTGAGACCCATCTTTGAGCCAGGCCTGCAACCCCTTGGGTCATGCAAGATTAATTTAAAGCAGGTGTGCCCGCCGAGGTGCCCACCGGGAGATGTCCACGACTTTGACATGAGCTTGTAACGGCAGCGAACGCAATCTGGTTCAATCGATGGATGCTGCAAATCGTGCTCGGCATCAGTCCATGACAGCATATCCTCTGATTGCTTCGCCTTCCACCAGGCCTTCTGCTTCAGCTTCCTCGACTCTGGCACTGTTCCGAGGGAGGCCCTTTCAGTTTTCCCAGAGTTAGCTGCCTTCTTCCTGAATCTGAAGGTCTTGGCGGAGCGTGCCCGAGAGGAACCCGTTGGACGGCTCGAGGACGACCGCGAGGACGGGGACTCGGCCAGTAATGCAGCTTTTCTTTTTCGGCCCTCTCCGGGCGCCTGGCCGAAGGTCTTCTGGAGCCAATCCCGCTTTGCGGTTCTGTCCATGACACTCATCCGGCCAGGATGCACTTCGAACTAGAAATCCGAGCCTGAAGGAAGTCGCACCTCAAAGCCTCTGAGTCTTACAGTGGAACAATAATAGAAATGTTCTAGCTTCTCCGGAAAGCCCTGTAGGCATGAAATCTGGAATCAACCTCATTTGCCCCAAAGCTGCTCGAACCACAAGCACCGCAATGCTCAAGTGATGTCATTGCACGCCCGGACATTGAAGAGCTTGCACCGACTGCGACTCAGAAAGACTAGCCTCACACCGCAAGCCTAATTCCGGAAAGACACGCCAGCAAGACCCGGGGCAATCTGAAGTGAAGCGGCCTGTGCGGAGCAAGGCTCAGAGAGAGAAGCCCCACTGGCCCAAGCACCGGTTTCGGGCTTGCTGGGTGATGGGATTTGAAAGGGTCTTCTATTATAATAGGCAGTGAGAGGGAAAGATAATGATTTCATTGGCAGTTAAGCATCGGGAGGCTGTGCTGAGCAGTGAAGAGCAGAATTCCAAACGCCGGAAGGCACTAAGCCAATTGGTCACCTTGAATCCGAAATCCCATTTCTTATGTCAACATGGCCCTACATGAACCCACTAGGCCTTGAACCTGACGTACAAGCCCGCATGAACATCCTGAAAAGGATCCGTAGAGAGCGCCTGTCAGATCTTTACAGCAAGTCCCAACCTAGGCAGACCTTTGTATCAACCTGTCTGCTCACCGTAGAAAGTCGGAAATCAGAATCACGAGTCAATCACAAGTGTGTAACCAAACCCTGCATCATAATTAACGGAACACTTAATCCGTGTAGATCCCTTGAATTGCACCTTAGAGGCCGACAGCTTAAGCCCTGAGAAGAACCTTCAACCTTAAACCCTAGCCCCTCAGCCGTCAGGCCTATGTGCTATGCAGTACTCCTATATCCAACCCTTAATGCCTTAACCCTTCCGCTCAGCCAGGAGGGCATACAGCTGCCGAGCTTCAGGCGTGGTCGAGGCCGGGATTCTTCCTTGCGCGGAAGCCGGTTACGGTTTGATTGTTCCTTGAAGCCTGCGACAGAACCCATTGACCTTGACTGTCAAAATGGCCGTCTCACATGTCCATGTCAGATTTGCCCAGCTCAGCTATGCTCGCTACACACACTTCTGAGGAGGTGCAAATCGACAAACGCGAGCCTCCCAAACCTCCGTCTCCGGCACCTTCTCGTCCTGCCAGACCTCAGACCAGCTGTTTACCGAGCAACTTCCGTTTCAAGTTCTGTGACATGCGCGACTGCTTGAGAGGATTTTGCTCGACTGCATGTGGTGACCGCGGTGCAGCACGCCACTGCAGATGCCGGAAGGGGTGGGGCTGCAGGGCGATGTAGTTACAGAGCAGGACAGGGCACTGCTGCGAAGTTCGCACAGACACTGACCGAGGAACCTCCAAAGCCCAACGTCCGAAACACCCCCGAAAATCCTCCTGAGGAGCGGCACGGTAGCGAAGATGGTCCAGGCCTAGACAGTGAAAGGGAAGGACAGTGACTCAGTTGGCAGTTAAGCATCGGGATGATGTGCTGAGCAGCGAGTGCAGAATGCAACAACCAGACGCAAGCCGCAAGCCTAGCATCAACTCAGGCCACTCGCACTCTTACCACTTTTTGCATCAAATCAGGACTTGTGCAGTCGCCTGAGCGTGTTTGGAGCAGACGTTTTCCTAAGATGGCGAACTTTGTCCAGACCGCCACCCTGCACGCACAGCTCTGGGCTGTCGCTCGAAGAAGTAAGGGCGACCGCGAGCGACCGCGACGCCGAAACAAAATCCACAAACACTTGGGCGGATGTACGCCACCCTGCACGCACAGCTCTGGGCTGTCGCTCGGAGAAGTAAAGGCGACCGCGAGGGACCGCGAGGCCGAAACAAAATCCACAAACACTTGGGCGGCTGTACCCGCACTCAGCTCCTCAGCTCTCGCCAGCTTCCCCGTCGGACTCCACGGCGATGTCCTGGTTGATGGGGGTTTCCAGCTCGTCGCTGTACCTGGGGGGCACAAGGAATGAAGCCGAGGCCTGGTTATTAAAATGGGACTCACCTTGCTTAGGTCAATCAAGAACTTGAAAAACTATCATCGATTCGAACAGGGCGCAAGTCCTTGACCGCACTGGCGAGCTCTTGGCTGTAGAGGTAGTGGCCGTTTTTGCATATGTGCTCCAGAGCTGCCAAGTCCAAGACGTTGGACATGAATGCTGCATGCTTGTTAGAGCTCGCGAATCCCAAGTAAGGGATCGCGGCTGACAAGCACGCAAGTGGCAACTGAGTTGTCATCCTCAAGTCGACCACGAAGCCCGCGCTCCAGGCGGCGACGAACTGTTTCCAGAAGGTCATCGGTTTCGACTCCAACCAAAACCACGGAACGGCCTCCTCCTCGTAGCTCTTCGGTGCCATTGCCACGTCGACCGCGACCCCGAGCGCGGAGCGCTTTGCACTCTGCGCAACACGCGGCAGAGCGGTGGCCCTTGGCACATTGAGGTACAAGGAACCAGCATTGGAATCGTCCTTCTTGGCGAGGGCGACCTTCGACCTGTTCCCGCAGCCAAAGCGGACATAGAAGGCCTCGTGCAGCACGTCACTGAACGGCACCGTCCTGGAGCGCTCCTCTGTGGTCGAAGCCCCCCGCTCGCGCCGCTCGCGCGGAAGGTAAAGCACCATGCCCTCCGAGAGGTCTTGGCAGTCTGCAGCCACCGCCTCGCGATGGCCTTTGTTTCGGCCGTCGAAGACGAAGCCAATCTCGAAACTCTTGTTCAAGGCCTTCAGGTACTGCATCGGTGCCTCCAGCAACTTCTTGTCGAGGCCTTTCTGGGTCTGTCGCCAGGGCGTCGTTGTGGGCTCCTGAACGCAATCCAAGCTGAGGATTACCAACATGTGCGCCTCGTTGAGCTTCAGATTGGTCCGCGGTTTGACCACGTTTTCCTTGAATCGCTCCACCGCGGCCATGATCTCTGTCGAGGTGGTTGCTTGCGCGACATGGCAAAGCTTTCTTCGGCACGCCTGGGCTTTGCTCCAAACCTCCTTTCGCTCCTCCAGCTGTACGCTTGGAAGCTCCGGGTCGGAGCTCAGCCGTGCAAGGGTTCTCAGTGACAGCGACGGTGCCGATGTATCGCTGCAGGAGTTCCTGTACAGGCGTATGAAGGTCTACAGTGTCGGTTTGAGTGATGATTTAAAAAGATGATATCGGGTGCCCACTCGTTTTATGAAGCTCTCGCGTCGACTCTACACATGCAAGGATGCAAGGATGTTCGACTCATATGAAGTACAACATCCCTTTTTCTTTTGAAATCCCGGCCTCGTGCCGACGCGTGCATTTTCAAGCATGGCCTGGAAACCACGGACCGCGACCACGAGATTGGCAAGGGTCTTTTTCTCGCCTTTGTCGCTCTTCTCCATCTGTGCAGGATCCGTCACAACCTCTTCGAACTTGGAGTTCGTCGCCACTTCCACAAGCCCTTCGTCGTAGGCGCCGTCCATGCAGTCGTGGAGGAGGGCGGCGAGTTTCTTTGAGCACATGTGTTTGAGGCTGGCCTGCAAGTCTTGCAGCGGAGAGGAGCCCTCCTCCGCCACCTCTTCCTGCTTGTCGTCTGATGGGTCCTGGCCAGTGCTTCCGCCAGATTCCGCAGCCGATGACCTCACCGGAAACTTCTCGTTGAAGGCGATCGGGGTGAGGAAGTGCTGCAGCACCGCCTGCATCTCGGTCTTGGAGGCGGCATCGTCCAGCACGGAAACAACACAGGACAGATAGTTGATCAAGCGGTGACGGGTGATCAGCAGTGCCACGAAGCCTGGTTTGTGCAAGGGGTCCAGCGCCGACACCGTGAAGAAACTGGGCTCCACGCTGCCTCGCAGCAGCTCAGCCAAGCATGCGGAAATCACCCAGTTGGCGGTTTCCACCATGTCATAGCTTGCCCTGTGGTGGGCACTGGCATTCTGGATCACCTTCAGGATTCGAAGCAGCTTCGTGTAATCCTGCGTCAAAGCCTTCTCCTTAAAAAGCCTCTCCGTCGTCCGCAGGAGCGCGATGGAGTCCTCCGTCAGCATCGCCTGCTGCAAGCCCAAGCACTGGGTGTGGTTGCGGCTCACCGACTTTCCATCCATTTTCAAGCCGAGATCGCCGAGCGCGGTCGCCGACTTGTCACTGCCGCTGAGTTTCACTGAGTGCAACTCAGCAACCCGGATTGCCCGCAGCGACCACGTCAGCCAGCTGTCTGCGCAGCTTTTCCCCAGCGACTTTGCTTGGAAATTTGCCCTTGTCTGTTCGACGATTCTCTCGGTCTCGTTCAAGTTGACAAAGAAGGACACCGTCACCCCCAGGCTGAGGAGCATGAGTTCTTTCACCCGCTGCTCATCCTTTTCCCTGAACGCCAAGGCGAGCATGACGTAGAAGGCCATGCACATTTTCTGCGCACCGATGGCCTTGACGAAGGTTGGCAAAGTCGTCGTGGGCACCGCATCAAGACAGGCCGGAATGCTCAGGCCCAAAACGACCAGTCCGGTCTTGTTGGACCGGGCGAAGACCTGGGCTACGGTCCCTAAATCTCTTTTAAAAGACCCAAGGAATAATCCTATCATTGTTACTCGGGATTGATCTATATACTCTCTTTCAAACCAGGAACCTCGCTGCCCAGCTGGACGTAGTTCGACCACGAGTCCTCGACCTCGTCATCCAAGGGGACCGACAAGATCCAGATGGTGGACCCGGCCTCGTACACCCCTGAGTTGTTCAGGGAATTAATCATGTTCTTGAGGTCCCAGATCTCTTTGTATCCAGCCGCGTTGCTCAGCTTCTTCTGGCCACTTGGAGGCTGGATCCTCAGCGGGGGCACATTCTCGATGTTCGCAGGTGTGCCCACATGCGCTTTCATGTTGTCCCGCAGCCACTCCATGGCTCTTGCTCTTGTCTGCGGCACCAGCTTCCTCAAGCACGGCACAGCCGAATCTGTCTCGTTCGCAGGCGGAGACCAAAGGCCTGCCACA